TTCTATGTTTCTTCCTCGCTGCTTCAACAAGCTAAAATTGGAGCTGAGAAACACAGAAACAAGTTTTCACCTGCCCCCAGCTGTCAATCATCCATCTACATCACTGAGTCCAGATAATTCACATTATAAGTTAGGATTTGATAAAAACAGGACACTTGTACAACATGGTCTCTGAAACACTTTGAGAGAATACCAGGCCTTGTTGTTTAGAATTATAATGTGGCAAACTTAATCATAGTTGTTCTAATTTATGTTCTGAAAAAACTGAAAAACAAGCTCTAAGATGATTAATTTGTCTTTTTTTTTTTTGGTGGCCATATTGGATAAATAGAAAATGAATCATGAATCTAAATAAACAATAATCAAACATTTTCTGTCCTAATAAATAACTGGTAGAATGGATCTCACATAGTTTTATTAAAAGGGGCAATATTATGTGTTTCTCAGGCACATATTTAAATTCTAATAAAATAACTATGTCACCTTCAGTTGTTATTAAAAGGCTGTTTATATGTTTCAATGGAAATTTAACTTTTTTCATCATATCTCTTTCTAAACGCCTTGAAATTGGCCTCTGTCTCTTTAAGAACCTCCTTCTGCTTCTGTCTCGTCCATTTCAGCACGGGGCTGTGTGGGTGTGCTCTGTGATGAGGAAGCTTGGCTTAGAGACACAGTCCAGAGGAGGGGCTGATGCCAAAAGGAGGTTCTAGTTGAACCGATCATTTTTGCTCCCCTGCCTGGCTGCCTCAGGACACTACAGGATTTCTCAAACATGCATGAATGAGTCAAAACAAGACTTTTGGGCATGTTTTTGATGAGAGGATAACATTATAACATGATATAAAACTTAAAAACTTTGATTTTACATGATATTGCCTCTTTAAAGAAAGCAGCAAAACCAAGCCCACATTATAATTTCACCACCACCGTGTTTCACAGCTGTCTCATGCTGGAACATGAAGGTTTTTCTTTAGTCAAATAAGCCATGCCGCCAAAAACAATGCTTCAGTCAACAGAAACATTTTCTATTTGCTATTAGGTTAATGAACATGACCTTTCAAAGTAGCCTCAAACGTCTGAAATCATTGGGAATAAACTCACTCAAACATTGTTTTGTTATAAAAGTCCCACCTTAGACTCAAATATAATTGATTCTTTAAAAAACTTTTTTCTGATAACATTAAATAAAGAAAACCCATCACATTATATTACCATGTGCATACATTATACTGTATCACTTTCCTCAATAAATAAGAGAACAAGAACATGTTTTTCTTTCATCACTTGTTTTCTAAATCTAGTTTCTTGTTTTTTTTATGAAGTTTTAAGTTAAGATCCAGCCTGAGAATTGTTGCTGAAATGCAAAAACAGACAAAAACTCTTTAGTTTTCTYTGTATTCTCAGCAAACGTAGGCATTTATTTGCATAAAGAGAGAACTGTGAGTTTGTTCAGCGTGTGGAGTGTCATTYACACCTGTGCCAGCAGCAAACTGAGGCAGCTTTACAAAATCAGTGCCTGGGGTAATTAATGCAGCAGGTGGTGAATTAGTGATCCAGACATGCAAATATTGTACACGTTCATTAAATGTGGAGTATCACTTTTTTTTTTTTTTTTTGCAATTTTGTGCCTTTCTAAGCT